TTAAAACAATAGATTTTCAATTATCACGTTCTGAAAAACAAAGTACACATTCCAAAGGAGGTGCTTGTGTACACGCAAAACAATTACTAAAGATGCATATGTAGGCCTTCTCCTGTCCAAGAGACCATAAAGGGTAAAGGAACACTGATGATAATCTTTGTAGATGCCATTAAAATACTCTATGCCTTATTTGATCCACCTTATCAGATAAGTGATCAAGTAACATAATATGGTTAGCGTAACATAATATGATGTGACACATAAAAATGAAAAAAAGTTCTGTAACACACCTATCACCTTGTAAAATGCAGGCTGAAAATGATCAATCTTAAATTTGAACTATTACTATATACTTCTTTCTTCCCCTGTAGACTAGCTTGAAGCATGTTTTCTACTCAGATTTCTGCCAAACACATTGCTAATCTAACCTGTCACCATTGCCCATATGTTCCTTGTATGCTGTCAGAATTTAAAATAATAAAGAACTATTGTTAATAGAAGATTGTTAATAGACTTGATAATAGGTTTTTGCTACACTGCTAATTTAACCTGTCTCCATTGCCCATATGTTCCTTGTACGCTTTACGAATTAAAAAAATAAAAAACTATTGTTAATAAAAAATTGTAAATAGCCTTGATAATAGCCCTTTGCAACCTTACAAGCAGGAAGATAATATGGGGGGCATGTATCTCTAGTGGTGATCTTTATGTTCGAATGATTTTATTTCTATTATACCATATGATTAATGATGCAAATTCTGTCATTATATTTGATGCGCATGGCTGCCAAAAAACAAAAACAATGGCTCAATGTGCCATTCATTTAGCAGTTTAATATAGAACAGGTTTTATGGCTTTGAAAGAGATGCTTCTAGTTTGAGTCGGTTCTTAATATTCAGAGGTCCAGATTAGGAGGAATGAAACTAAATTTATTGACACCATCTAGGAAGCATGGAACCAAATCAATTAGCCTATTTGCTGCTTAGGCATTTTACCTTCCACAACTTAAAATTGTAAACTTTGCCTGATTAATGGGAAGGCAAAGTTCCCTCTTGCTTCAGCCATTAGCTCATGCATCATGTTAACAGCCTACTGTGGTAATATTTCATATAGCTCTTGAGAAGTTTTGAAAGCACCCAGTGCAGTCTTCAGACAGATTACTGTTCTGTGATTTCTTAATGCTTCTTTTAAATGTTTGTTTTCAGTGCAATTGATCATGTTTAAGATTTCCACTCTGCTGTGCTAATTAAAAAGGAAACAAGGAGCCCATTTTGAAGCTAAGTGAATGTAAAGGACAAGGAACTTGCTTCTTCAATGTGGTGAGAAAAATTAGAGTGACTTAATTATCCATGTCTTAATCCTGTGAGGTACTGGGCTACATCATCTCCTACCTGTTTGGTCCAAGAGGTGTTTACCATGCAAAGTCAGAGCTGTATTTGATTTTCTAATGCCCAGGACACATTTCTGTGGCAGTCTCGATGACAGGACCAATTCCAAGCAGGCTGAAGGCAAGCAACAGTTTAGATCCCACAGCCAGGACACCCTCTCAGAAAGCACAGACTAAAAGGCAATATCCTCATCCAGTGCATATTCTCATCCTTTTGATGACTTCATTGGAAAAAAGAAAATTTATACGAGAAGAGGATCTGCTTCTGCATGGGGAAACAGGAAATGAGTGGACAGAAGATAAACTCCTTTTTTCTAGGGAAGTCAAGAGATAGAGAGGTCCAGAGGATGGAAACTCCCTTAAGGAATTGGGGGAGGAGTGGAGAGGAATGAGCTGGGAGGAGAAATGAGGAAGAGGAAAAGGCTGAGGACCCTTTGTTAACCTGCTGAAATAATCCAACATTTTTTTCTCCTGTGGTTGTCATTGCAAAAGATATTTGGTGCCACATTCTTAGCGCTGCATTGGATTTCTGGAAGCATTCCTGGAGGCTGCTTTGAAACACAACTTGCTCCTTTCCAATATCTGCACAATAACGCCATATTACATAATGCACAATAATGCCATATTACATGTGAACTGTGTGTGTTTATTATTAAATGATGTTAGAATCCTTTGAAAACATCTATTGATGGCAAATGATATCAAACAAAATTTGAACTGATTTTCACTGGAACCAACTGATATTTTGGGGGGATAAAACACAAAAAGAAAATAAAAACAAAAGAAACAAACAACAAACATGTTCACTGGCACCATTTAAGGTAAAACTGAACAAGGCTGTCTTTACAGTTAAATTGCAACATATTAGTTACAGATGTTTGCATTAAAAAATGGAGGATGATTATTTGAAAAACTAATTTGCAGTATCCACTAGATGGCATACAGTGACCATGTTTAAGTCATCTTATCTTCACAAACCCTCCCATTCATAGAGTAAATAAAGAAGTGCATTATTAATTTATACCATTGCATCCACTCTACACCTAATATTTGTTTAGCCAGCTGTTTCCTCTAATCCTCCCTAAATGCCATTGATTGAAATCCTAAGTACATTCAGACATTTTGCCCCAAGAACATTTTGTTACCTACGAATTACAACCTACCTTTTCAAGCCCGTGACTGTGTGCTACAGATATTAACCGTGGAGCCAGAATGTCTAATAATTCCTTACAAGCAACAGAAGAAGCTTGTAATCTGAATTTTTTTTTCAAAAATTTGCTTTTAATTTTCAGGTAGTTTTAAGTGATAGACTAAACTGTTGCTTTAATATGAATTATATTAAATTAATATAGTTTCTACATCCAATGATAATTTATACAATTGCAGTAGAAAGACAAGAAACAAATATTAATTTCAGACCAGAATACTTAATTCTTGCCATGACTTGAAATACTTTGAATATGATTAAGTACAAATGATAGCAAAACCAACAATAATACTCTGCACTCGTATAATAACTTACCTGAAGATCTCAGAGGATTTCATAAAGGCTGGGTCAATACTATTTCTCCCATTTAGCACATAGGCAGGGAGCTTAAGTGATTTGAACAAGGATGTGGAACCCAGGTTTTGATTTTAGCTCTCCTCGCTCCAAAGTTCATGCCAGAGCCATTAGGAAACACTACTATCCTTGTTAAGCCACATTTCTAATTTAAGCTTGGAGAGACTGAAGTCTTTGCAATTCAGCAGAGCAAGACTTCTCTACCTGATAAAAACTGCATAAACAGCAGCACAATAAACATGCCACAAGACGCAACAACCATTCTAGCATAAATCTAAGTCACTTAGATCCTTTTTTACATGTAGCTGTTAATCATGCAAAAAGGAAGGAAATACAACTGATTAGGTTTATAATGAAATAATTCTTACTAAGCAAGTCCCTTCAACACTTCTGAATTATAATGTCAGTCATTTCTCTGAAACAGGGCATTGCTGCTATTAATGTACTACTCCATAACATATTTTTCTTCTTTCTCACTTAGAGACTGCTCAAACTTTCAGGGCTTTTATTGGAAAGACAGGCCTTTTGGCACATTTTCACTGCAGAGCAGCAACATCTTGATTATTATGTTCACATCTGTCTTATTTATTTAACCTAAAAAAGCAGTTGTTCTCCACTGAACTTTGCTGTTCCATTTGTCAGTGACTTGATACACTGAAACATCTCAAAACCATTTTATAACTATCACTGCATTTAAAAGGTTGAATATATGGGTCAGAGCCATAGTTGGTGCAAAATAACGTAAGTGCATTGAGTTATTTCATTTTATAGAAGTTAAGAAACTGCTCCTATTCAATATGAAAACTGAGTAGAGCTTGAAACAGATCCTCCTATTCTGATCACCTGGCATACTTTATCAGTTACAAAACTATCTTGATGCTGCACCCTTGTTCGAACTCCAGTGCAGCGGATCATAAACTCTCTGTTTATCATACATATTTCATAATGCTGAGAATACATAATGCTGAGTGTCACACATACTGGTATCTTATTCCAAAAAACTACTAAAAATGTTGTTTCTAGCCTCTTCCTATTCAAATTTAGTCTTACAAATAGTTAATACAAACACATTCCATTATAATAATGTTCATTTAACAATATTGAATTTAAGTGTAAAAATAATTTTCATATACTGTTAGCTTCCAAGAAAATCCTCAGACTTCTGAGTTTATGGCATCATAGTGTATCATGTACATACACACTTTCCTCACTGCAAACTCCTAGCAGCTGATACATCGTGTGTTTTCACAAAGATAAAGGATGGCAAAGGAATACATCTTAATTTGAACTAATCATCTAAGTTCATTCAAACTACACAGCTGAATCTAAACCAGTCATAGGAAACAGTTTAGATTCTGACATGAAACATATGACAAGTTCCTACTTATTTAAACAATGGAAAAACAGACAAGTCTGTTGAAGGTACATAATATAGTAATGGACCCGCTTGTATCAACAAGCTCCAGAGATGCAATGTGATGATACTATAGCACCCTAAAACGCCTGTGCCTAGAAAATGTGTTACTTTGAGTTTCCTTTTTTTTTTTTGTCACTTCTTAAGTAAATTTGGGTGGTGACGAACTACTTATCATACCAAATTCTTTTCCTAACTAACAAGATCAGTTCCTCCATACCGGGTGGTACAAACACATTCACAGCTCTTCAGCTTCTCCCTTGATCTACATAGTCCGCCCTTTCCTAGCTCCTGTAAATTCCTATTCTGTTGACCTCTTGGAAAACATTAATCTCTGTGAAATGCATAGTCTTACAGGAAAAAGCCAGTGGACTATACACTTTTCATATTTCAGACTGAAACTGCGGTTGCAATACGATGTCTAATTAAACACAGAGCACTTAAAAGTCTGATAAATTGAGAGTAGACAGTTGCAACTTCTCCCCCCCACCTTTGCCAAATTAGATCGCTTCAAAATCCCTTTAGTACGTCCCTGACGCCTTAAGACCTGACTTGCTGTATTCATACCATAGTGTTAAAAGAGAAGCAAAAATGCAGTCTTAAAAAAAAATAAAGCCTTCCCCCTTTTTTTTTTTTACCTTATCCAGAACTCCCAAAGTTAAGATGCTCTCAGAACTCTCCAGCAATCTGAAGCAGAGGACACAAAGTGCAGAGGAAGTTTTTAGCTCTTCACCTTAAGTTTGTGTGTGTGTGTGTGTGTGTGTGTGTGTGTGCGCGCAGAATGTCTGTAGCTATGAATGGCAGGGGACCTGATTCAGGGCAGGGAGAGCCACTTTCTCCCCGAGAGGAAAAGAAAAAGCAACACGTCATAAGTTGAGTACGCCTCCAAGATGTCTTAATTACCCAGGAATGGAAGGAGAAGGAAAAAAACCCTCAGAAATCCCCCCGCAGGGTGGCCGGAGCCTGGAGCACAGCAGCGTCTCGATGCCGTGCCCTGTCCCTTCAAGATCTGTGTCCTGACGTCCTCCCTTCTTAGATCAGTGCCCTGATGTCCAGCCCTCCTGGATCGGCTGCTGAAAGTCCCCCTCGCACTACACACACGCCCCGGGGCAGGCGATAAAAACTTGAAAGAGTTTTGTTTCCCCCTTGTGAAGGGATCACTGGAGTTAGATGCGTGACACCCCGCGCAACTCGATACCTCCGACCACTTGCCTGTTTCACCCAAGCCCCCTCCTCCTCCCCCCATCCATCTCAAAGATGCTGCTTTCTGCAAGGGAGGGAAGGTGAAGCACTAGGACGGGGGAGAAAGGGAAAAGTTGGATCTAACAGGATCTTACTGGTTTTGGCCCCAAATCCTTCAAAGCTTCTCCCGTGACACCAGAAGACACCCAAACTACCATGGATACCACAGCCTCAGTGCCTCCCAAACCCTAGATCCAGCCAAAGTGTGACCCCAACCCCCTAAACTCAAACCAGTCCATAGAAAACAAGTCCAGCTGCTTCTTCTAACCTGGAAAGACTGGCCACCAGAACACAAGAGCTGCAAATGCACAGATCCTGCTGGATCCATTCAGATTTGGCCCTAATGCTCCTCATTTCACAGCATAACTAGAGTCCCCATCAGGTCTCAACACAATCGCTGCATGAAAAAGTGCCTCCCCGCTGGTGCATCCCTGCATGTGAACCCCCGAAACCCAGAGCTGGCACTTTGATTTTACTGGCCCTTAGCAACGTTGGGAGCCCACATTTTCTACTTATTTCTACAATTTAAAACATTTTCTAAAATTAGTGCATTTTTCTAAAATAATTGCACTTTTTAAAAGAATTGCCTTGCTCCTGCTTCACTGGGAAAATACGGATCGCGTTGCAACTGGTCCAGCAGAGCTACATTAACGCATATCTCATAGGTGCATCCTGCCAACTTTGAATCCCCCTCAGCCAGATTCTACAAAATAGAAAGAACATGTAAAATCTTCTAGTGCTCTAGGAAACCAGACTCTGTTCCAGACTGACACAACAACTGTAAAATATGTATCCTGTTGATTTCAGACTGGCACAATATGTACACTGTTGCTTTCAGATGGCTCCCTTTTGCTCAGCCCCCAAATTCTATCAGCTAACTAGGGAAGTGCTATTGCAACAGCTCCATTGCAAAAAATCAATACACTGAAGCAATCCTGGTGAATAGATCTGGAAAAATATTCAGAAAAGCACAGCTTCCGTGTTAGAAGGAACTCAAGGGCTACATAGCCCTGACTTTTGCTGGCTCTTACTATTTTGGTGCAAGCTGCCAATGTACCATTCGTATAGGCGATCCGTGGTGTCACTCCACTCAGGGCAACAGCACATCTTGGTACTAGAGGAATGCAAGATTCCTATCCAGCATCTGGATCTTGCTAGATTGGAGCCAATTTTAGCCACAAGTTTCTTATCCGTGTAAAAATGGTGCTTGGTATATCTTGGCGAATAGGTGACAGAAATGTGCAAGTATAAACCTGTATCAGGACCTTGGTCTTCACCTAGATACTCCTTTACCTATTAGACAGCAAGTGTAATCATCTTATTAAATGAATAGCTAAATCCATAGCCTACACCACTGAGATTTTGAAAGCTGTTTTTTGAGATTTGGGTATGCACCTACTATTTAAAATATGTTAAAATTAAAAAATAATATGAGTGTCTAAGTCCCCCAGACTATTCTGAAACTCTGACTACTATATATATATAATAGTAGTCAGAATTTCAGAATAGTCTGGGGGACATATATATATATATATATATATA